CCCCACTCTCTCTCTCTTTCTGTCTCTCGTCGCGTCTGTCTCCTCCTATCCCCCCAATCCCCCCAAGAGTGTCAGAACAGTTATGGGGTAGGTGGGAGGAGGGATATCTGCACTTAAGAGCACCAAAGTCAATGACGGTACTTATTGTATTGATGTGCTTTGATGTACTCCGACAATCAGTCAATCAATGACTTGGAAGTGTAGGGTTCGTTAGCCCGATTGGTTAAATCAATCAATCAATCACTTGGGAGTGTAGGATTGGTTCAATCAATCAATCAATCACTTGGGAGTGTAGGATTGGTAAAATCAATCAATCAATCACTTGGGAGTGTAGGATTGGTGCAATCAATCAATCAGTCACTTGGGAGTGTAGGATTGGTTAAATCAATCAATCAATCACTTGGGAGTGTAGGATTGGTTCAATCAATCAATCAATCACTTGGGAGTGTAGGATTGGTAAAATCAATCAATCAATCACTTGGGAGTGTAGGATTGGTGCAATCAATCAATCAGTCACTTGGGAGTGTAGGATTGGTTAAATCAATCAATCAATCACTTGGGAGTGTAGGATTGGTTAAATCAATCAATCAATCAATCAATCACTTGGGAGTGTAGGATAGGTTAAATCAATCAATCAATCACTTGGGAGTGTAGGATTGGTTAGCCCGATTGATTAGGTATGCTCGGAGGATCTTGGAAATGTTTAGCTGAACTAACTCTGTTGAGTTTTTAGTGAAGTGTGGCTCTTTGACCATGTTTCAGCTGGGTATTTTTGTGGGTTTTTTTGGCTTCCGCCCCTATCTTTTAGTGCAGAAGTGATATAATCTACCTGTTATTCTATTTTGCTGTCTCGCTGAAAGTTTTTAGGCTATGGGTCATCCTGCAAATGCAAGCTAACTTTTTCTTCTTTTTTTAAAGTGGTTTTTAAATTGATAGTATGTTGCCTGTTGGCTTATTGTTAGATGTTATCAATTAGATTCAAGGCCACTCCTTGAAAAACGAGGCTGCCGTGACACTTTGTAATGCAGAGATGATATCTGCAGAAAAAATTCTAAGCAATAATAGAGCCATTGTCAATCTTTTTTTTTTCTTTCTCTTTTTGTTGATTTGTTTTTTTTTTGGGTTTTTTTAAAGATAAATTTGTAAGAGGCAACCGTTATCTAACAACAAAGAAAGAAATCAAACAAGTCGCAGCTCTATCGTTGTGTAACTGATTCAGCCCGCAGATATTTTTGACTCGGGGCTTATGGGCGGTCTAACAAAAAGTCAGTAAAGAAATATCTAAATTCACTAAAACCCTTTGTGTGACATATATAGGAATGTTTAAACTATAAAACAAACCATTCAATGACACCAGCAAAAAAGGGTTGAAATGTAAGTGGTAAGGAAAAAAGGAGGGGAAAGTGAAGTGGCCGTTTGTTCAGGTGACTATCTTATACTATACAGGTGGCCGTTAGATTGTACATGTACCTCACCAGTGGTTCAGTTTGACAATCATTTGAGCAGAGCTAGGCTTGGCACCCGAGCGTCCATCTTCTTGGTCGGTCAGTTTGACATGATTCGAGCAGAAATAGGCTAGAGTGGATCACTCAATCGTCCATCACGTAGATGTGATATAAGCACAGAGGTGTCTGTATGTGCTCTGCCTCACCCTGTTCCAGCCCCCCCTCCCTCTTCCCACCTCCATCACAACTCTATAAGTGTGTCTTGTGACTCTCACACTCTCTAGCGTGTCCATTCTCGGGTCCCCACCCCCCCACCCCCTTGTCCCTGAAAAATCCCATCTCTTTCACTGC